CAGACCCAAAACAAATGTCGCACCAAAAATTATCCACGTTTTATTCTTTTTAGTTGTAGGAGATAAAGAAGAGACAGAGAAGGGATAGAGATTCCTGTCATTCTCATTCTTCCATTACCCTCATGTATTTTTAGGTCTTATGAAATGTTCTGAATTACATTCTTGAAGTAAACCAGATATCGAGGAAAGATGATCTGTCTACAAATGTTCCTGTTCTATGAAACATTATAACATGTACGAAATCCTCATTTTTCAGTTCTCCAGATGCCTGGAACTTTTATGAGACTAGTATAATGCCCGTGCTAACGTAACGGATTTATCTTGGAGACACACATGAAAACAACCAATGTTTTTTTCCATAGTTCAACTTTTACATAATATCTTTGAGCATGTATACAATCCGGGAAACTAAGAAGTCATAATAAAGTTTTTTCTCGTATAACCATTTAAGTTACATTCTGTCTAAGTCCTTAATCATGACTTGGAGATCTTCAGGAAAGTTGTCAAAATATTCGTTTGCATGGCTCTTAAGAATGTCCCCCAAAAATTTCATCCTCAGTGAATTTGATAGCTGTGCATGGTAGATATAATAAGTTAAGTTATTAATTTTGTATGTAGTGTACGAAATATAGTTAGAGAATATATGCTTACAGTGTTGATCGGTGGCAATCTTACACCATCCCATGACTTCATGAAATTGTATACAAGGAAGCCTCCTAATTTCCTGGAGATAAGCATTTGTTTGATTTATTGTACATAAATCAAATAACTATTTTGTGATAAGAAGAAAGATGAAACATATTATAGGTGATTACCAGTCTTTTATGTTTTGGAACTTTTATAATACATGCAGGGAATATTCGCTTCTAGTAATAAATATTGCCGTCCCACTTAGAATTTATCAGTTTCATAGCGAGACTAAACCTTTTAGCAATAGTGTGAAATGTAGCTATATATGGCATGATTTGAGCATTACCCTTGTAACATACATCACCTGGGAGTGGATCCATAATGTGCACAGTTTTCTTTTGCATGTCCATTATGAATAAAGTATATAGTCCATCTCGATAATATGGCAGTAGAATCTAAAAACATAGACATAGAATATAAGTGTTTAAAAAAAGTATAATATATATAAATAAAATATAAAGGAGTACACTAAACATATCTTACATTGTTGCAATCTTTAATTTTGTATTCCATGTCAGGCTAGCACTCGATCACTTTTGTCAGTTTCTTGTGGTCTAGTTTGCCACAACATCGCGAATCTCGTCCAAACTGGGTTAATGTTGAAAGTGTCCTGTTGTACCCCCTCAGAAAAAATAATTGTTGTCACCAAAAGGAAATGCATGTTTCAGTTAACTGTTCCGCCAATGAGTTATTTTCAGGTGTTATAGAAATGACTAACTGTTTTATCTTACTGGTATATTGCCCGTGCTAACGCTACGGACCACATTACGTCCAAAGTTAACTTTGCCTTTGTATGTAAGATCACGCCTGGAAAGACATCTAATTAAAAAGCGCATAACAAGTTGACAAAAACATACTATTGTGTTTGCCAACATGACACAATTATATGAGCAAAAAGATACTATGTTCCTTACTAAGTTGGACCGAATCCTCTGGAGATGAGACTGGTACAACTTTTCTCATTTTTTGCTGCCTATAATACATGGCAGACAGCCAGATGCCAACAATAAAGAAAACAATACAGGCTTTCCTGCTACTGCTCCTCCAGAAAGGTTATTTCCCGTTCCATGTAGTAGAAGTGAATTAATTGCCTTTGTTTCTATCAACTGAACAAACCATCCAACTTTGCTTGTCGATGTTATAGAAGCATATCTCACAGAAGTGTAGAAGTGTGCCAGCACTGCACAAGGTGATGAACTATCAGAAATCTGAACCTGTTAAATATAACGGAAATTAAAGATGGTACTTGAACAGATAACAAAACAATACTCACCCTGGTTCCATAGGGCGGTAACTACCTTCTCCTTATTGAAAAAAAAACACAAAAGGATTCCTCCATCTTCTTGGTTTTAGAAGTTAGCAATTCAGAACTGACCATATTAGTTTTAGCGTGACCATCATCATGAATGGAATCCTGTATCCCACAGCCCTAAATCTGCTGACACCCATCCTTCCAACTATCAAGCTCTGTAGCACATAGGGAACCAACAAACAACTGTATTAAAAAAAGAAGAAGAATGCTCTTTGTGCAGCAATTAAATAGGAAATATGCCAAAACTATTTACCTCTTCTTATCCTTGGTTAGAGGAGCCACGCGAGCCTGGCTGCACCCCCAGCTGGAGGCGGCGGCGCCGGCCGCGCCCCTAGCCTGGCTGGAGTCCGCGCAGCCAGCCACGCCTCCTGCCTTGTCCCCATCCTCGATCTAGGGTTCAGGCGAGCGCAATGCGTGTACGGCGGCATCGAGGGGAATACCAGATGCTTCTATTAGTGACATTATTCTCTCTTAAATCATCTATCCACAGTAGTAATTCACTGAAACTTGACGATTGTGCTGCTTCTAGGGGAATACCTGAAAGGTGTCCCATGAGAAAATGGAATATGTACTAAGTATAGTGAAAGGTATATGACAACATTTCTAATATTTGATGCGTGCAGTTTACCTCTATAGTTAAGATTAAGAATGAGAAATGGAAAGTAAAACAATTATTTCAACAATCAGCATAGGATTGCTGAAGATGAAATTTCACATTATCATCCATATAGATCCTAATCCTGAAAATGTTGGTAACCGAGACCGCACCTTGCGTTTCTGTTTCTAGTACTTGTATTTCCTTGAGAAGCAAATTATTTTCATGCTGCAGTTTCTTCAGCTCCTCCATGGCCATAAGCCACTGCTTGTTAATGTACAGGATGTCTGTAACAGACAAATGTTAAGACCTATTTATCAGCAAGGAACGGAGCAATGTGAAAGAGTGATTCCAATGGAAAAAATGTGTGCTACATTACGATGAAAACTAACAGTTGGCAGCACTAAGTTGTGGTCTGATATAGAACACTAACATTAGGTAAAGCAAGGAAGAGTAATTACATCGTTGAGCGGTGAAAGAGCTCCCCATGCACGATCGCTATCTACGCTTCGATGTCCAACTTACAAAATTCCCAGCACCGACATATAGAAACATCATCAGCGGTTTGGTCCAATTCGAGCACTAACAAAATCGAGATATAGCGGAAACCACGGACGATCTTTGGAGCTCTCTGTGGCGGGGCTTACCGCGAGAATCGCCGTTACCCTCCACGAGATACAAATTGGAGGACCGAATCGGTGAGCAATGAGCACGCATACAGTGCGATTACGATTACGCATGTGCTGCACAAGCAACAATTATCTGAAGCACGGCCGCACTGGAATGGGCTGGGTTTGGGATTTGCACGCACCTGAAGGAGTAGTAGGAGCACCGGGTTAGGAGCGCCGGCGAAAGCGGCGTGCTTGGCGAGGGGAAGCAATGCACCCCATCGCGAGACGCAGAACGCGCCGCCCGGACTATGAGGCGCTGAGTCTCCATGGCTTGCTATGAGCGCCGCCTGTTCGCCTCTGGTCCTAGGCTCCTAGCTATCGCGTTGCACCACCCCGCTGATTGCGGGTGAGTGAGGCGTGAGGTAGAGAGGGACCGAGCACGCCACCGAGACCGGGAGGTCAGCGCGCGCCAGCTGGGGGGGCGCCGGCGCGCGCTATAGAGACTTAGTGGCGGAGTGGCGGCGGCGGATGCTGGCGCCCGACTTCACGCCGCCATTGCTGCCAGTGGCCTGCATTGCATGCACCCACCATGGTCGTCGGGCGAGCCTTGAAGCTCGACCGCGCCCTGGCTGGAGGCGGTGGCGACGTGCCGTGCCCCCGCTTGGTGGAGTCCGCTTTCGGCCAGCCGCGCCTCTGCCTTGTCCCCGTCCTCAATCTAGGGTTCGGCGAGCGAGCGATCTTGCGTCTGTTGCGTCGAATGAGAGGCTGAGATACCGGCAAGGGCACGGCGTTGAAAGGGAGGCGGAGATCCGCACCGGGAGAGAGAGAGAGAGAGATGCACGCGCGGCGGGGGTGAAGGGCGCCGCATGCGTCGGCTGGTGAGAGGAGGCACAGCGGTAGACACACTGAACATGAGCCGTCGGATTTGGATGAGTAACGAGAGAGAATGGCTAAGATATAATCTGGTGCATCTGTTTTGATGGTATTATATTTTCTAGGTATATTCATAGGTGTGGATATAGCATAGGTCATGACTGTAGAGCAGCCATTTGTTGTGTGACTGTAGATCTATTATAACTGGTGTATTATAGGGTAGATGTATGTAAGTGACAATGCTGGAAGGTTTCGAATCACAGAAGAACCTTTCTAGTTAATAGTCGTTTTGCATTTTACATCATGATGTACAGTTGTAATCCCAGCAAAAAGTAGTAAAAACAAGCTTACTGCAAGCCTACTAGATGACTTGTACAGTTGTACTGGATTGAACATTCCTATGTATTATAATGGTTTTGAAACAAAATGTATCACTTTTTGTTGTAAACATAACTGTCTCACCTGACCTGGAAATGGATCCTAACAGCATGTTCGCTTGTTGGTTTCAGCCAGGCTAAACCAAATTAATAACAGTATTTTCCTCTCACAAAAAACCAGCACCCGTCAGCCCAAACCAGCACCAGCACCAACCAGCGAACAGGCCCTAAGTATCATTCCTATTTCACACGTTTATTCAGGACGTTTCATTTACTTCTAAAGTTTCATTTGCAGCTTTGTACAGAGACAGCTTCATTTTCTACTTGAAACTATACCGGTGCCTTGTTTGGCATTCCCTATCTGCCAAGGCAAGTAGGCAACTGCCAGTAAATGGTACTTTCCCAGCATCCTATAAAGCTTCTGTGGAAATATGGTTCAAGGGAATTTGACAAAAGCTCTGCTCAAGCCACCAGTTATTTGAGTTGAGGAACTGTTGTTTTTTTGGTGAAGCAAGCTTTGAATCTGATCAATGGCTTGAAGCTCAAGGCCAAATGTCCGTCGCACAACTGGTCACCTCGTTGGACTTTCGATTATCCAGACTCTCTAGGCTTGCAGTGCTTTGTACTGGTGAGTTTTGTACTTGTGGAGCTGCGGTTGGACCTCTGAACGCATCACTCCCTAGTAAATCCAACCCTGTGGTTGTGAGCATATTCAAAGCTTGGCACATCTTTCTTGAGTTCAGATATGGTGCCAGGCCAAGGTCGCCTAGGCCACAAGATATAGCACTTCTCGCTACCATATCCTCTGCCATCTTTACCTGCAATTCAAACCGATTGGTTAGACTGTTAGAGAGTCGCAACATTTGTGATGGTTCAGTGGTTGTGGCAGCTGTTTCTGCGAGAAGCGAACTGCTCACCTTGACTCTTAACGCTTCTACATCGGATTTGAGGATTCTGTTGTCTGTGACTGCAGTATTGAACTGCTGGTTGGCCTCTGAAAGTTGCTGGAACAATGTTGCATTTTCACCTTTAAGTCGTTCAACCTGATTATGAGGGAACATATCAGTGTGCATCCCATAAAACTCACAGCATCACATCCTTAGTTGGAAGTCATTCCTGGCCAAGTGGTTATGGTACCTGTGACTCAAGTTCAGACAATTGCGCCTGTTTTCTCCGCCTAGACCGTCGCGCAGACTCCCTGTTGGACACCTTCCTGAAATTTACAAGAACAATGCATCCACATCAAGACGTAATTCAGACATTTGTTGGAAACTTGCATGATTTTGCCGCGGGCTTGATCTATTCTTACCTTCTTATTCGCTTCGTTTCAATGGATTTGTTGCCTCGCTCATATGGAACTCCCTCTACCTCGTAGAGTGATTCGCTGTCGGAGTCTGACTCGCTTTCAAGAGCATGGTTCGCTGAGGTGGTTGCCCCGGGGCTGGCTGTGACCAGGACAACATGGCAGGTGAGCATTATTTGCCATCAGCCTAATTTGGATGTTTTTTAGAATTCCGCATAATTCAGATGTGATCATTCTCTAAATCGATTCGACTAGCTGTCAACATATATTCAAATAGGCCTGTTTAGCAGGCAAGAATTTCCCTAGAACTTGGACAGCTGAAAACACTGAGCTGTTAAAATCCCATAGAATTCATACGCAAAGTGTAAATGGTTGATGGTTGTCATTCACATATCTAATCATCAGTTGATCACAATTAGTCTATAATTTGTACAGAGATCAGAGCATTTGACGACATAGTGAAATTCCAGTTTGTATAGATTGCAGGAGCAGGGCTGTATGTGCCTTACCGGAGATGGACGCCGCCCGCGACATGTCTGGGTTCGGCGTGCGGACGCTCCCATACCACCAACTGCTGTCATCCATGGTGTTCTGCTCGGGCACAAGCAGATCTTGGGTTAATGATGAAATCACAGGCAAGCGTAGCGAACTCTACCTATCCTCTTTGTAAGCGGAGATGCATTTTCAGTTGCAAAGCTGCTGCTGCTGCTGCAATCGCATTGCTCGTGGCTGGCAGTGCTCACCGAGTCGGCGAAACCGACGCCGGGCAGGGCGCCGCCAGGCGAGAACACGCCGCTCCCTCCGGGCTCGCCTGGTCCGCCGCACCCGGGATTGCTACGCCCGGCGCCGACGCCGGCGCCGCTCTCCCGGATGAACGCCTCCAGCTGCAGCTCCGACGCGGACTTCTTCATCCCGCCTGCCTGCCGGTGCGCCGCGACGTGCCGGTGGAGCGACTGTTGACGCCGACCGCACCTGTGCCTGAGTCCCCCCCGTCCCGGCGTGGTGGTGTCGCCTCGCCGGCCGGCGTGTCGACCTGCTTTTGAAGGAGGCGGGCGGGGCGCGGACAGAAATCCGGTGGTACGTGGAAAGGTTAGTTGGGGTGCTGGGGGATAAACCACCTCGTCAAATGGATGGTGACGCGGGATGACTCGGATCCGCGTCGGCCTTGGCGAGGCAACGACGCCGATGCGGGGTACGCCCGTGGCCGCCGACAGGAGGGCCCCGCGTCCGGTGGGCCGTGGCTGTCACGGTACGGGGGTCAGGTGGGACGAGGCGGCGGCGACTGTCAGCGGGGCGTCCGACAGTCCGAGTCGGCACGGGGCTCGGGATCCGCCTCGTGGGGGCGTGGGGGCCCGGCCCGGCCGCCGCGTCCGCGAGGCCACACGATCCGCGCGGCCTGGGCCTTGTTTATATCACCACTAAATTCCAAGTTTTTTTACTCTCCATCACATCAATTTTTGGACGTATGCATGGAGTATTAAATATAGGTAAAAAAATAACTAATTACATAGTTTGGTTGTAAATCACGAGACGAATCTTTTAAGCCTAGTTAGTCCATGATCGGATAAAGTTTGTCAAATACGAACGAAACGTGCTACAGTGTCCAGATTACAAAAATTTACAATCTAAACAAGGGCCTTGTTTAGATCCTATCAAAATTTTAAGTTTTTTACTCTCTCTCCATCACATTAATTTTTGGACACATGCATGTAGTATTAAATGTAGGTAAAAAAAATAATTAATTACACAGTTTTGTTGTAAATTACGAGACGAATCTTTTAAATCTAGTTAGTCCATAATCAAAATAAAGTTTATCAAATACAAACAAAACATGCTACAATGTCCAGATTATAAAGATTTACAATCTAAACAAGCCCAAGGCACTGGTGAGTGGGCGACGCGGGTTGACCGGGGAAGGGACGGAGACGCACTCGTGGAGCTGCGTCGGACGGGACAGCGGCTGCCGGGCTTTTCGAAGCGATCCTGCGCCAGCGGCGTGAGTGAGCCTCGTTTAGTTTTCCCGAACTCATGAAAAGTGCACTATATTAAAAGAAGATTATTCGTCACATTAAATTTATGGTACATACATAAAGTATTAAATGTATACGAAATCAAAAAGTAATTGCATAGTTTGCTTTAACTTTACGAGACAAATCTTTTGAGCCTAATTAGTCAATGTTTAGATAATAATTCACAAATATAAACAAAACACTACAGTAGAGATTTTTCACTATACAAAATTTACCTACACAAACTTTGCCCCAGCTAAACACCACTGAGAATGGATGGCCTCGGTGGTCGGCAACTAGGTAAAAAGATCCATGTGAACTCGTGATGATCCTCTGATAGTCCGGCTCCTTTTCTTTTCCGAGAGGCGGCAGTGGTTCGATTGTTTTCGTTATCCGGAGGCCGATCAGATCAGGGTTTACCGGCCTACTTGATCTTGATGTGTGTTGTTCAGTGGCAGTGGAGCCGTGGCCATTAGCAATCAGAGACATGCACGGGTGACACGCCATAGGACGGGAGGTCGGTTGGTTGGTTGGTTGCATATCGTGGTAGTAATTCGAATGCTGCCGATAGTACAGTAGTTATGATATTTCCATCTGCTAAAAAACTAGGAGCAATTAGGGCCGTGTGCGTTGCGTATGTAGTTAGACACCAGGGCTGAATTTTTTATTTTTTAGCCTTTTTTTTAAAAGTTTTTCACAAATATGTCATTGGAGGAAAGATTTTAAAATCTGGACCCATAGCTCGGCGCCATCGATGCTGGCGCCGAGCTAACACGTCTCGGCGCCAGCGTCCCTGGCGCCGAGTTCTTGGGCTCGACGCTGACGTGGCGCTGATTTGGCAGGCATCTCGGCGCCGTCGACTCTGGCGTCGAGCTTGGCGCCAGGATGTATGGCAAAGCGGGGGTGGGGTGGTGGCGATGCGAGGGAATGCTGCGGAGCGCTTCGAAGCGCGCACGACGGCTGCAGCGCTCAGGAGCTAACGATGAGCGAGGACAAAGACATGGTGCGAGCCCCGGATAGCCTCTCAGTCTGCTGTGCCTCTCAGTCTGCTGCGGCTCGCGCTGTCAAGTTCGTATGGCCCTGGCCATTGGAGTATCAACTATCAAGTTCGTACGGCCCTAGCCTGCACTTCGCCCAATTTTCATCCTAGCTCATCGATCATGCATGCATGTCCCCTCCCGCCAGTCACACACCGAAGTGTCCGTATATACAACCATGGTGCATGCATCTCCGTACCATGTCAACAGGCGGTTGTCGCGATGGCGAGCAAAGCGATGCACACTCAGTCTTTACGGACGGACGGACGCACGGAGCCAGTCTAGACGTGTCCGGCGGACGGGCCATGCCTTGGGGTGACAGCGACGCACATCGGCGGGCACGGGCCGCAACGCAGCGTTCGCACGGAAGCTCCCTCGTCGCTTCCATCATCAAATCGTCGTCCAGAACTAGTAGAACTAAAAGTCTGTTTATCTAACGCTAGGGTGTTTTAGCATTTGGGAACACACGAATTTTTTCCCCATGGATACTGTTTATCTTCCTCCTCTCTCTTTTTCCTTGGCACAAATCATAAATCATAAGTAACAAATCACAAGTAATAATTTTTTTCTATGAAAGGACAAAGAGAAAATTTGGTGACGGCGTCGGAGTTGGGGAAGAAGAAGCTCGCCGGAGTTGGGGAAGATGCCGGGCGCGGCAGCGGCGGCACGGGGACTGGCGGACGCAGGCGCGGCAGCGACATGGGCATGATGGCGCAGGCGCGGTAAAAAAAATTTGTGTAACACCGGGTGATAAAACACCCGGTTGGTGTATAGCATTTTCGTAGAACTAAACGTGTCTCATTGACTCACCACGCACGAATGGCCGGCGGTGCAGGCGACGGGGGCAGGTGTGCGTGCGTGTGATGGATCTGCGTGCGCGATCCGGCCCAGATGGACGTCAACGTCGCCCGTGGCTCATGTCCCACGTCCCACAAGAGCAGAGCGCATGCAGGGCGGCAGTCGGCAGGGCATGGCCGTGTCGACTCGTCGTGTCACCCGGCTCACAGCAAGCGATGAATATGTCAGGTCTATAGAGGAAGAGAAACGTTCATTGCATACGTACAGAGGAAGAGAAACGGAAGTGGGGTGAGTACGTAGGGCAACCGACCGGCCATCGCACGCCGGCCTCTCTCATAAAGGCAAAAAAGGAGCAACAAGGAGTGGTGCGTGGCCGAACAGGACTACTACAACCAACACAGGAGGTCCCAATCATCCGCGACACAGCGGCTTGCAGGCCGACTGTACATGTGAGTAGTTTCGGGCGGATGCATGCATGGACGCAGAAGGAGTACAGCTACAGCGCGAGCCGCAGCAGACTGAGAGGCACAACAAACTGAGAGGTTGTCCGGGGCTCGTGCCATGTCTCTATCCCTGCTACTGCTAGCTCCCTGAGCGGTCGCCATCGTGCTTGCCCCGAGCACTCCGCAGCGTCCTGCCACTGCCAGCGCTCACGCCACACTCGGTGCCATACGTCCTGGCGCCAAGCTCGGCGCCAGAGTCGACGGCGCCGAGATGCCTGCCAAATCAGCGCCACGTCATCGGCGAGCCCAAGAGCTCGGCTCCAGGGACGCTGGCGCTAAGACGTGTTAGCTCGACGCCAGCATCGATGGCACTGAGCTAAGGGTCCAGATTCTAAAATCTTTCCTCCAAGGGCGTATTTGTGAAAAACTTTCAAAAAAAAGAGCTAAAAATTTAAAATATGGACACCGGGGGATTTAGGATCTCGTTTGTCAACGGAAATCGGAAGAAACTTAAGCTATAAGCGATCTATAAGAAAATTACTTCTCACTTTCATGTCGAATGAAATGTTGTGCTAGCGAACTAAGCCTAGTTCAGTTGGTTAGGGTCCCTGTGGTGGAACCTGCTCACTCGGGTTAAGTTCTCGACTTGACACGGGTGTTCGTATTTTCCTGGATTTATTTTAGGATTTAACGGTGTTGTGCTTTTCAGTGGTAGGCGACGTTCCCGTCGACAGCGAGACGCCTGTGGTGACTTCGTCAATCTCGAGATGTGCTGGCACAGTTTTTCGGAGGTGCTTATCGGGATAGGGTTTGCGTACGTGTGTTTGTAGAAGTGGGTGTGCGTGCGTGTTGAGCGTCTACGTTTGTACTTGTGTAATTCACAAAAAAAACAAATTATTGTACTAGTTGGTATGTGCAATGTTTACATGAGTGAGTGTGCGTGTAACACCTCGGGTGTTTAAAATACTAAAACCTGACATGTCATCATATGCATTGCAAAACATTTGGCATTTGGTGAAAACTTTGAGATGCATACACTAAAACAAGTTTATATTCATGTGGTATGTGTTGAATTGTATTGGTTGACTCTAGTTCAAAGTTTGTTTGGATTTTGAATTTTTCGAGAAAACCCCGCTTTTCAGCATTTAAATCCTACCCTGAAAATCCATTTCAAAATCTAGACCGAATTAGGAGATGGTTATAGAAGCAAGCTTGTAGAACTTTCGATTTTGAACAACTTTTGTTTTTGGAGATTTTTCAGTTGTTATGAAAATTTGAGAGTAATTTGTGAATTTTGGCGTATGGCAATTTTGTAATTTCTGTGAACAGTGTTCACGGCCTAAGCCACATTGCCGTCGGACCTTCTTGGCGTTCGGTAGCGTCGTGGCCGTCCTTGATGTCGCATTGGCAGCGCACGAAGCGGCTCCGTCGTGGCATCCTTGAGCTTCTAGCGCGCGCTTATAAGTACCAAACGCGTCGTCATCGTCGTTTTTCTTCCTTTGTTTTCACCACCGCCGTTGTCATCGCTCCAACAAGCTTGCATCGTCTCCCCAGCGCTGTTGCCATCTCGGTAAAGGCCGTCTTAGTTCCGTCTTTTCCTTGCGAATCTAGCCAGCTAACATTG